AGTTATAAAATTGCGTTGCTTAAGGCGGGACTTGATCAACAGCCGATACCGCACCGTGACGTCACTAACCAGTAGGTGGCAGTAGTGTTCTTTGACAAACATGGATGCCTCCAGTAAAGCACATTCAGATGAAAATTACTCTGAATTAAAAACACTGATCATTTATTGAACGGTATGTTATAATTTCATATTTAAAGTACTTTCAGAAGTTTTTATTTTTCTACTGATTAATGCTAAATTTATTAAATCACCGAGAACATATTAGTTTTAGGTATAGATAATGATCCATTGATTATTTCTTGCTCACCTGACTTTTCCATTAAAGACATTTCATCCCAGCGCTGCGTGTCTCGAGCCCGTGACATCATCAATGACCCCTCACCCCCCCACCATGGACTGTTCTCCCTGCTGCCCTCTGGGAAGAGGCTTCACAGCATTCAATGCAGGACCAGCAGGTTCTGCAGCAGCTTCCCCACCGCCATCAGACTGCAGAGCTAATAAAACTCGAATAAAGCCTCTGCATCACACTTAAAAACATATTTGCACTACCAATGTAATTGACTTTTTCCATAATCCCCTTAAATAAACACAACTCAGTGTTCTCCTGGATTTTGCACATTTATTTACTCTGCACTTTTCCATGTTGATGCCTTTTGCACAATGACTTTAAACTGGTTTTCCATTTATTTCTACACTGTTTAATTGTGATCACTGCTGCACTTTATCAATGGTAAAGTTCATTTCACTGTTGCATTAAGCTGAATGAATTGTCATATTGTTGCACATGACAGAATTTGAGTCTAAATGGATCTGAACGATCTGACAGGAAGCAGTTAAGGTTTAATGAAAATAAAGAGGCGGAGCTGAAGGAGAACAGAGTTTATTACATTTATTCAAAAGGTTATTCCATCAAATCTGTCTACAGAGAAACACAGGAAGTCACAGCTGGATCTAAAAGAGCAAAACCTCAACAGATCACAGTCAGAACCAGAACCAGAGCCTAGAACAGACCACATGTGACTTTTGGTTCCGTCAGAATTAACTTGTCCTTTATTTCCCCAGACACGGCTTCTAAATGCCACATGGAAAGCACGAGCACAGAAAATAGACACGCCTCTAAAGGTGAGAAAACATCTGGACAGAGAAGGGTTCTGATCCAAACATGGCGTCCGTGGCTCCCGCCCTGTTACAGCCGCACAGCGTCCTGATTGGCCGGCGAAAGTACAGAACCAAAGCTAGATCTAACCTCTGCTGGTCTGAGCTTCTGCCTTTAAAAGCAGCAGAAACAAACTGATCATCATGAAGGATCACAAGCAAACTTTTCTGCTTCTATTTGATCTGAAGGTGAAAGAAAGAACCGTCAGAATGGATAAAAAGAAGATCGACTGCAGAGCAGGAAAACCCTACAGAGATAAAAGCATCAGTAATCAATCCATTTATTTTCTAAAACAAAGATCTGCAGTTTTTTCCATCATAAATGAACATTCACAAAAACTTTGATAGGTTTAATACAAGACATGATTTTAAACATTAACCTGCAGCCTGCTTAGATCCCGTTTGGACCGACCTGCCTGAACCCAGAACCGTTCTGTTCGCTAAAAACTGACTGAGCGACCGATTTCAATCCAATCAGGAGAGACGCAGAGACCGTCTCTGACCACCAGGTGTCGCCAAAGATGAACCACAGAACAGTTTTCCAGCTGAAACGCCAGAATCTGATGGTGAAGCTTTTCAAAACGCTTTTCCTGCAAATTCATTTCACTTTTTTATAACAAACAGGAAGATCTGCAGCTTCTGTCTGACATTAAGATTATTTTCTGTTCTTTTTTTAGGGGTGGGGGGGTTGTATGAGATGCTAAATTAAAGCTGCAAGGCGCCGGGATGGGATTTGGCCCGACCCGGCTGCCTGTCCTCAGAGCAGCAGCTGCTACAAACACCAGGCAGAGCAGAATAGAGTAAAAGCAGGTTCATTAAGCAGGCAGGGTCACACCTTCAGGTTCGTTTGTTTTTTCTTCTTCTTCGTGGAGTAAAGCCGTACAGGAAGTAGAGGCAGTGAGTCTTCAGGAAAGAAGCTCCTGGATGAAGCAGCGAGAAGCTAAAACTGCTACGAACAAAATCACTAAATACACGTTAATCTTCAGGAGTTAATATGTGGAATCTCTGCACGCTAACAGTAGCACGCTAACAGTAGCACTACCCCTACGATGGGCCGGCTCGCCGCTTCTGACCCACGACCTCCTGCGGTCTGCAGCTGGGAGGTCCCGTCCCGTCCACCCCCGGTCCAACTAAGCCCATATATGATCAGTAGGTATTTAAAGCCTTCCTCCTCCTCCTCTTCCTCCCACTCCGATGAAAATGAAAGGAGATCAGAAAGTCCCGCCCCCTGCGCTCCACCTGCCCCCCCTCCCTGTTAAACCACCCCGTCCTCAGAGTGACGTCCTCCTTGTTCCCGTGAAGAAGAAAGGTGGAGGTGTCCAGGTGTTCTGAGTTCGGGGGTCGGGGTGTTGGTTGGGGTGGGGGGGTTCCTCAAAGTTCAGCCGGTTGAAGGAAACCCGGCGGCAGCGCGGCGCCGCCGTTCAAGAGATCCCGCACCCTCCGATCCAGGAGGGGCGTCGCCGCTCCTCGAACAGCCGAGGGGGGTGTGGGGGTGGGGGTGTGATTGAGCCTCATCGGGGGGTTGCCTCGCCTCCCCGGCCTCCACCGGTTCTCGCCGGTTTAATTGATGTGTGTTTTTTTTCCTCTGTTCCTCCTGGTGGTGGTTCGTCCGGACACAAAGCGCCGCCTGGCGCTGCGCTTCAGTGAGGCGGGTTCATGGCGCCGTGGCCTCTCTGCTGCTTCTGCTTCTGCTGCAGAAGGAGCTGCTCCAGCGCCGACGGGCCCGGCTGCATCATGGAGCTGGACCAGATGGACTGCAGGGGAGAAACCCGGTTAGAACGCAGACAGAACCCGCTTCTACAGAAGAACGGAGCCGATCGGATCACCTTCAGGCTGTCAAGCAGCACAGTGGAGGACGACTCGTCCATCGGAGACTCCTGATTGGTCCAGGAACTCCCTGTGGAACCGCCCTGGTGCCAACTGGGCTCAGGGCCTGAGGAGGACGCTGCAGCTGGGAGGTAGTCCAGACCAAAGCCACTTCCTGTAAGACCAGAACCAGAGGACGGGTTAAAAGAAACAGAACCAGAGAGGACGGGTTCAGAGAAACAGAACCAGAGAGGACGGGTTCAGAGAAACAGAACCAGAGAGGACGGGTTCGGAGAAACAGAACCAGAGAGGACGGGTTCAGCAGTTTAACTGTTTGATTCCTTTTTTCTCTTTAATAAAATCTTCATTCTCTCCGTTTTTTCACTTTAAAAGGTAAAAGAATCAAATCCTCTGCAGAACCTAAACCAACCACCAGGTGTCACCATCGCAGCAGAAGGTTGAGGGGCTTATTTTAAAAACATCCAAAAATGGAGCAAAGCAAAAACTCCTGACTTCCAAAACAAGCTCTAGATCCCAGATGTTTCCCTCCAAGGCTCCGCCCCTCTCCGCCGTCTCTCCTTTCATCCCCCCTCCCTCCCCCCCCCGAGCTCTTTACTGGAAGCTGTTGCTATGTGAGGCTTAAACCCAGACTGACCTGGTTTCTCAGCTTTCCAGCGGTCCACGACCCGCCGGTCTCGGCTGTCTGGGGTTCCAATGGGGCCAAAGTTGGAGAAGGGCACGGCTCCGTGGCTGTGGGTGGGAGGGGAGGAGGGCAGGCTGCTGGGGTTGGAGGAGTGGGGGGACTGGCTGGCTGGGGTGGAGTGGTCTGCCAATCAGAGAGCAGCAGGGTTAGTGATGTCACTTCCTGAAACAGCACCCGGTTGGTGGGCTCCTTACCTGAGCTGGCAGGGAGGGAGGGGGACCAGGGGTTCCCCTGGAACAGCGAGTAGAGGGAGGGCTCCTGTTGCATCATGGGAGAGTCGGGTTTGGAGCTGGGCGGCAGGTTCTTCCCGTAGGCCTGGCTGAAGATGCTGCTGTGGTTAAACTCCTGCAGAAACAGAGCACTCAGATCATCCACCAGGACCAAACAATCCGCTCTACAACCTTACAGCCAGGTTCTGGTTCCGCTGGTCAGGCGGAAACCTTCCAGAACAAACCTGACGTTCATAAACTGGTTTAACAGCAGGTCCTCTAATCCACGCCACCCAAACAGACAGAGACCAGCTGAGGGGCTTTGGTTCACGGTTCTGGTCCAGAACGGATCTCCTACTACAGAACCCCCAGTTACAGCCCAGACCATCACACCAGCAGCACCGTGCCTGATATTCTGGTTCTGAAGAGCTGCTGGGCTTACAGCTAATGGAACCGTCCATAACGGCCATCCTTCTACTCTTTACGCCATTTATTAAATATAAACTGGATCTTTGTGACGTTTCAGGACAGTAGAGGTTCTGGTTCTGCAGTTCGTCTCGCACTGCTAAATCCTGACCTCTGACCTCAGCTGGGGCAGTGAGGCCAGCAGAGATCTGGTTCCAGGTTCTTCCAGGATTAGTTCTGGAAGGTCGGCTTCTCTGGTTCTCTGGGATCCAAAGTCTCTCAAACATCTGTTCTTCTTTAACCGTTTATAGGGCCCTCAGTGAATCGGTTTGAACATCAACATTTCCTGCTAATAGTGTTATTGGAGTTCAGGACAAGATCATATTACCTTTGGAACATTAAAACAAGCTGGATATTTCGAACTGAATGACAATGTAATAACAAGAAACGCCAACTTTCCCCAATATATTAAGAAAAATAACTAAAGTGCTTCTAGAAGAAATTTATGAAAAACACTCATTAATGATTAATAGAGGCATTAATGCTGATACTGGCACTGACATTCTATAGTTTATAAACCTAAATATAATTGTTAACTAGTATTATTAACTTTTTAACTTTACTTTTTAATTTTTCAATTAGTTTACCTTTTTTTTCTTGATTGTTAACTTTTTTTAACCTAATTTACAGTGGGTAATACATCATTCAGGGGCTCATCTAATTGGTCAAACCAAAATAAGACGTACAGCCATGTAGCAAGATCTTTAATGAATGGCTGGATATAGATCTTGTGATCAAAAGTGATCAAAAACGCCAACTTTCGCTATAAAGGGGTTGAGTTGATTCCTTCCCGCTATCATCATAACCCCCCACCCCCCACCCCCCTACAGGGGAACAGAAGACCTCGCCTGTTCACCCAGGCCAACAATTCCCTTTAACAACCCCCCTTTCAGAGACATAGACAGGTATGGGGCATTGCACGCTAACAAAGAAGCTAAACGACCCCCATTCCAAAGGGGGGGACCCGTTCCTCCGTTTCTATTTGCACAAAAACAAGGCTTTGTTGAGCTACTGCATAAAGCCTCGAACTAAAGTCTATTTCTGACATTTTGAATAGAAAAAGCTTCCTGGATGGAACAGAAACATCTTCCAACTTGAAAACAAAGTCCAGTGGACTGATTTTGACTTTTTTGGGCAGCCCTAAAAAAGCTTAAACTGGAGCAAGAGACGTTTCTGCCTACTTCATGTTTCCATATTGGTTCTACTGGTCTTAGGGCTGGGCGATAATTCAATAACGATATATAATCGATCGATAGACGTGTGGCGCAATAGAAAAAAAGAGGGTCGATAAAAGTTCGATAAAAAAGAAACGCAGTTTTCCTTCCTTCTCATTGTAGCCTAGCATGTAGGTTTATGCTAGTCACTGCTTCCTCCCAACCAATCACAATCGCGTACCCAGGCACGCCGTCACCAAGCGCCGCCCTCTCAAACCACAACACAGAGCACATGAAGCTGTGCAGCAAGGAGAGGCGGAGGAAATTGTTTCAAAGAAAGGTTTTTGTAGTTCGGCAGTCTGGCAGTATTTCGGTCATGGCAAGTCGGACCAAAAACAAACCACAGTCATCTGGAAAATGTGTCGGGAACCAGTGAAAACCAGTCTGATAACGAAACCAACTTTTTTTTATCATCTCAGCCGCTCACAGCCGCAGGAGTACGAGCTGTGTAGGCCCCGACGCGGCTCTCCTCCGAGGAATCTTCGGAAAATATATATATATTTTCAGTTCTGGGCAGTTTCCCACGTAGTTCTAACAATTGAGATAAAAATGCTGAGGGGCCAGAAACTTCAAAGTAATAACTCAGGTTAAAGCAGGAAACGGGGGCGGCGGTGGGGGGGCATTTATTTATTTGTTATATTTATTTTGGTCACTTTAGTTTATTCTTTGTCAGTATTTAATAACATAACTCAGGTCTCTTAAGTTATTTTTCTTTAAAACAATTCTGTTATGGTTAAAAAAGTTGGTTAAATAAAGATTTAATTCGAAGTCTGTGTTTGTGTTTTTTATTAAAATTCAATCATTTAGCAATATTATAAAAAGTCCAGGCAGAGCTGCACATAAAATATGGTTTCAAATCTTTTCAATAATTATCGATATCGATCAATATGCATTTTTTTTTATCGATAAGCTTTTTTTCCTATATCGCCCAGCCCTACTGGATAATAACAGTAGATCAGAACCATCATGAATTAAACCAGTTGGTTTTATTTCAAGTAAAAAAACCTTCTGCTTTAAACTGGTTTGATCCACTTGAGCTGAAAAGTGAAGGACCACTGTGGGCGATCAGACGGTCCTGACCTGCACTGGGAAGCCGCTGATGGGCAGCAGAGACGACGACTGGCCCACCGCCTCCTGGCTGCTCTCCATCCTGCTCTGGTTTGGCAGCTAAACACACGAAGGAAACACCTTTCAGTCTATCATCTATCCAACACAGATCTATGTGCTGATGCTTTAGCTGACATGATCAGACCCAAACCCTGACAAAGATAAGGGATCAGGATGAGCAGAGGGAGGATGAGGAGGGTGGGGGTGAGGAAGACGCGGCTACATACAAAGATATTGGGTCCAGGAGCAGAGCTAAGGGGGCCGGCCAGCGCCTGGAAGAAATCAGGAGGCTTAGCAAAGATCAGCTCCTCGTCCTCCTCAAAGTCTGCTAGAGTTTTTAACAGGTCAGGAGGAAGGAAAGGCGAGCTCTTGTCCTAGTGAGAGAGGAAGCAAGGAGAGGAGGAAAAGGAGAGAAGAAAGAAGGAAGGCCAGTAAGAAGAGCAGAACCAGGCCCAGTAGAACGGGCTGCAGCTCCAGCAGGACGGCTGCTGGAAGGAAAAGGAGGAAACTGCAGCAAAGTGGGCAGAGAAACGCCGTCTCCCTTCAGCTCACCTCGAATGGGGCTCCTCGGGGCCCCGTAGGGACCTCCTGCTCCACACACATCCCACCAGGAGGGGGCCTCTTCATCCTGTCCCCCATCATGGCCAGCCCCTCCGCCGTGCGCTCCATCCGGTACGACGGCTCCCAGTAGAAGTCCTGGATCTTCACGTCAGGGAACTTCATCTTCTTGTCCATGTTGGAGATCTGAGGCTGCAGCTGCTGCTCGTACAGCTTCAGGGGGTCCTGGCCCCCCAGGAAGAACGCCTGCTGCTGCTTCATGGACATCTGCAGGGGGGACATCTTCTGCAGCGCCGCCTGGGACTGGTTCCACATGGGGGCCGTCTGGTCCTGGATGTACTGATCAGAGCAGAGGGACAGCTGGAGGTGAGCAGGGACGCCGCCTCAACGGGACGAGCCGTGGGTCATGTGACCTACCTGCTGCAGGCCCGGGTGGTGGGGCGGGCTCTTACCCATCCCCCCCTGCTGCACCGGTTTGGTGGGCGACTGCTGCTGCTGACTGAGGGCCTGGACCTGCAGCTGCACCGACTGCTGCAGGGCCTGCTGGGGGGACGGCTGCTGCTGCTGAGCCTGGGAGGGCACCTGGTTGAGGGGCCCCGGGCCCTGGCCCGCCGAGCCGGGCCCCGACGGTCTCTGCTGGCTGTAGGGAATGTGGGACTGCTTCCCAGCCTGGCCGCCCGCCCCGCCGTGGACCGCAGACTGGAGGAAAGGAGCGGGGACCGAGACTCCGGCGGGGAAGGTGAAGCCTGGATTCACCTGCAGGCCTGGGAACGCCACAGGGGGGGGGATGACGTAGGCCGAGGGGGGGAAACCTGCAGACGAGGCAAACGGGTCAAATGGGCCTCTTCATCGACAACGGACCAGCAGGGATTAACAGCTACAGATTGACCCCCCCCTGCAGGGCCCCCCCTGAAGGGCCCTTCATTTGATACAATCCGTAACAGAAGTCGGTTCATTCTTCATCTTTTTCTTTAAATTCTTTTATTTCCAAACTTAAAGAGACATTTAAGTTTTCACTGAAAATATATATTTTATGTTAACCTTTTACCCCAGGTTTAACTAAAGTTGGAGCTGGGGGGGGGGGCGCTGGGGGGCCGCTGTCCTGCAGGTTTTAGAGGTTTCTCTGCTCCAGCACAGCTGATTTTCACTGATAGCTGATTTACTTAGCTGACAGAGGGACCCACAGAGAGCAGGAGTTAAGTCGAGGTTAGGGAAAAAATGTATAAACATTTGGCATTTAAGATAAATAAAAAAAAAATAAAAATAAAAACTTTTCATAAGCCAATCTGCTCTATCCAGAAAAGTTTTAGTTTCACCTGGTTTGATTCTGTAAGAATCTTCAAGGCTATCCGATTAATAATCGATTAATCAAAAAATACTCAACGGATTAATCAACTTTCAAACAATCTTTAGTTGCAGCCTCGGCTTGAACTAAGGATTATTTGGCTAATTGATTATCTTATTTTTCATGGATTATTAATCTGATAGAAAAGGTTAATTAAAGAGGATTTTATAGATAATTTTAATCCAGCTGAAGCTAAAACAATCAGCCCACTGAGGAGTTCTGACAGTTTATTCACAGTGATGATGTCATCACGTGTGATGCGTTTCCCTTTCAGCGAACGTTGGTTTCCTCCAGTTAACAATTTATTGATTATTTAACAAGCTGGTTTTTATCTCAATAACTGATTAATCAAAGGTGAGCAGGTTTAACCCTTTTGGCTCTGGCGGCAATGATGGTGGCGCCGAGCTGCGGCACGCTTCCCTTTAACGTCTAACCAATGATGGAGAATTCCTGGAGCTCTTTCCAGGCTTTTCCAGGATTTCCAGGCAGAGACGGGTTTGATGCTTGGAGCTCAGACAGGAAGCGGGCCGGCGTGTTCTGGACCTACCGGGTCTGCTGGGCAGCGGGGGGAACGCTCCGGGGTGATGGATGGGGATGAACTGGGACGAGCAGGTGGTCTGGGTCTGGGTGGGCGGAGTCTTCTTGGCCTCAGAGACCGGAGTCTTCCTCAGCTCCGTCTGAGCCTTCACCTGATGAAGAAGAGCGGTTACTGATTGGCTGGGAACTATTCTGAGCGGGTCACAGGGACCACCCTAACCTGTTTGCCTACATCAGCCGTCTTCTCATGGCCGGCCTTCTTCATCTCGCTCTTCCTCTTCCCGTCCCTCTTGGGCTCTCCTTTCCCGATGGCGGCGCCGGTGCCGGCGGCGGTCCCGTTGCCCTTGCATAAGTCGCGGCGCTCCTTGCCGAGGTCTTTCAGTGGGAGGTTCCTGGCGGGCTCCTGGCTCTGCTCTCTGGGCTTGATGTTCTCCTTGAAGGTGACGACGGGCCGCTCACCGCTGTCCGACCACGAGCTCTGCGTCTTCCCGGCAGACAGAACCGACTTCAGGCCCGCAGTGCCGCCGTCGTTCTGGCTCTGCTCACCGTTGGACGACTCCTGCAGCACCGGGGCCTCCTTCTCCTGAGGCTCCGGGATGGCCTCCTCTGGAATGTCGGTGAGGAAGAGGAGGAGCCCGTCTTCGTTGACTCGGCACCGGATCAGCCTGCGGAGATGGAGAGGTTGGTTCTGCAGGACCGGACCCGTCACAGACTCACGGGGCGGCGCAGAACTCACCCCGGCTGGTTGTCGGCCATCCATTTCCCCAGAGCGATCAGCCGCTGGTGGCGAGCGTGCAGCGGCAGCCCGTCCCGATCCAGAAGGATGCCCTGGTGACCTCTGGTGAAGTCCAAACACCTGAAACATCCACAGACGCCATGAGTCCCGCCCCCACCCACCAGAACAGTTCTACAGAACCAGAGGAGCTCTGTACCTGAGAGCCGGTCGCAGCGCCAGGAAACCCTGCAGCTCAAACTCCTCCGGCAGCGGCAGCACTGTGGACGAAACAAACGCACCCTTTGGTTAAACACCTGACAGAACCGGGCCTGCGCTACGGAGGTGTGTTTGCAGAACCTGAGGAGGAAGAGGAGGAGGAGAGGTCTTCCTCTCTGGGCTGGAAGCTGTTGAGGATGGACACCAGCCACGGCCAGATGCTGCGGAGACGGAGAGAACGTTACGGCCCAAAGCTTCTCGCTACAGAGCCAGGAAGAGGAAGATGGTGGACTTACTACTTCCTGTTCTCCACGGCCGCTTCCTGGAAGATGCTGCTCCGCAGTTTGAGCCAATCCAAGGACAGCTTGATGGCCGGCAGAGGACACTCCCCCATCAGCTCCTCCCCTCGGTTCTTGTCGAGCAGAACCCGGCTGCACATCACTCCCAGGAAGGACACTGAGAAGAGAGGAAGGCAGGTCAGCTTTCAGAGGAACATCAGGGTTCTGACTGGGTTTAATTCAGATCCGGCCCAACGCGCGCCTCGCTTTCCCGGCCCACCGAGGCGCGCGTGATGGTGTAGTTGATGGTGCATTTCTCTCTCCCCTCTTTGTGGATAAATTTCCCAGATCTCTCTTAGAGAATCACCTCTCTGCCTCACTCAGCATAGAAACTGTCCCACTGCGTTTACTGCTGCGCTTCCCTGTTCTTTAAACCTAAAATAAGCACAGACTCATGAAGCGGGGCTTTGCTTTGAATCTGTGCTGGTTGTTTTATTTTCTTAATAATCTGTCCCAGTTAAATGTGGGAAAAATCTGCGCACACATGGGGACCTGCTCCTCCTACCCATCTATAAAGCAGTGGAGTCAGTGAGACCAGGAACAATAGGAGATTAAAACGTATCTATGACCTGAGCTTAAAATGTCAGCATCATGAAAACCTCAGATTTAGAGTTCATAGTGGAAACGGACTGTGGATGGACTGATTCTAGAAACACAGGATTAGTTTATGGCTGTTAAAGTTTAAACAAGCAGCACAACCATCCCGTTAGTTTTCCTTTGGGTTCGGGTCGGCCTCTCTGCCCTGATCTATACTCTAAGCTCTACGCTGCAAAAATGATCTTAAAAGGAGTAATTTTTTAAAATCTGTGCATCTACCCTTAATATGTAATGAGTATGTAAATAAGATGATCTGCCAGTGAAGGCAGGGTATTTGAGTATTATATGATAATTAGATAATATACACTTGAAATAAGAGACTACAGTTGGTTTTTCTGATTCTAAATGGAAATAATCTTATTCCATTGGCAAAGTGTCTCACTAATCTCCTTAATTCTAGGAAATTTTAAGAAAAAATGACTTAAGTTGACATTTTTAGAAGCGTATGTCTGACAGGACAGAGGGAAACAGATCAGAACCAGTCTGGGCTTCCTTTCCCAGTTCTTACCGAAGAGTCCGAGCAGCTGGAACCAGCTGAGCTGCTGCTCGCCGCTGCAGCCGGGCTCGCCGCCGTCGGCCGTCAGGTCTCTGAGGTGATGCAGCTCGAACAGGTTGATGACGGTGATGTGGACCAGCTGCTGGGAGCTAAAGGCTTTCTGCAGGATCAGCCTCTGCACACACACACACACATACAGAGATGATGAGTTGGGTGACGGGAACTCGGGCCGGACCCGACGGGCAGCAGGTGACGCCGACGTACCTGAAACTGCTCCTCCAGCTTCTCCCTCAGGGGGTCCAGTTTATCCAGGCTCTTGCTCAGATAGACGTGGCCGTGGAACTTGATGAAGGCTTTGATGAAATCAGAGACGCTCCACTTGGTTCGGACCTCATCGCGGCTGCAGACACAGAAGAAGACATTAGACGGCGGTCTGGGGGGCAGCGCTGCCTGGCTGGGTGAGGAGCGGCTACCTTTCCAGCGCCTTGGACAAAGCCTTCTGCAGGTTGGTGGAGGCTGCAGGGAAGGGGAACTTGACGGCGATGCTGCGGCAGTAGTAGAAGATGGTGGTGAGGTGGTCTCCTTTGGAGGAGGCCAGGATGGCCAGCTGGTTGTAGGGCTGACCTGCAGAGGGACCACAGGATGGTCAGCATAGCAAGAAAACTACAAACATGGCCGCCCATCAGCTGGTCTATCTGCAGCTGATGATAGATAGATTACGCACTATGTACCATAACATTAACACGAAAGAAACCAAAACTCAGAAATCTGCTGAAGGTTCTCAGTCATCGAGGTCACAGTCATTCCAAAAGATGGAAATTAAAAACAAAGTCCAGTGAATTGTTATTAATTTTATTTATTTATTTATTTATTTTTTGGAATAAAACTCAGAAAGACTAGATTTTTGTTTAGATCCAAAGCAGAAACAGTTAGCTCCTGGAGTTAGCATAGGACCCATTAGATGCATTTAATTTCTCAGGAAATACATTATTAACACATTATAGTTCAGTGCGCTTAGTTTTTTAGGCTAAAAAAAAGTAATTTAGGTCTTTTATCCAAATAAAAACTGAGAGTGACCTGGATGTATATCTGTTTGCACAGATGAGCTGATGGTTCGGATCAGGTTGGGATGATAGAACAGAACCATGGATTATCCGGATGATTTATTCTGTTTGATGGAGACAAGGATTCAGAATAAACTTTATGAGGTTCTGTTATTAAATACTAGGGCTGGGCAGTTCATTGAATTTCCAATATAATCGCAATTTAACAAAACACAAGTTTTAAATTGCAGAGATAATATAATTAACAAGAGTAAGACTCAACATTTCTCCCTCCAGCCCTTTAGGTGGACGTAAAACAGATATGTCTGCGGACTTTTCCACACAAAGACTGCAGTCCTGCAACAATGGACTCTGATGAACTCTGGGCAAGCAAGCTTTCAAAAACTGAAAGAGGGGAGGGGGGGGTTGGGGGGGTGAAACTTTGGGGTTAGGGCAAAAGGAAAAAAAAAAATCAAAATGTAATCGCAATTTAGATTTTTACCAAAATTGTTCAGCTCTAGTAAATACAAACACTGGATATAGTTTTCACCTCAATCGCAGGTCTTCAACAGGGGACCGCGAACCCTAGGGGGTCCATGGAGGTACTGCATGGGGGTCGCAAATGCTTGGGTGGATTAGGCTTTTTTTTTTATTCCCCCTGTAATTTTTTCATTAATTGAAATGTCTTTAAATCCACATTAACATGAATTCAAGACTGTAGTAAACAGATAAATGGAGGCAGAAGATGTCTTTCAGTCATCAATGCTCACATTCAGCGACACACAGGAGCTCTTTCAAGCTGGACACCGTTTCATTCACAACACCTGTCCCATCAACCAGGAACCAGAAATACTTTAATAATCCCAGGGAGGGATTACTTTAGTTACATTACTCCATCGGTAATAGAGTGACTATAGGACCAGTTTGATGGAAAGCAATTTCATACAATATATATAATTAGGGGGTCACCGCTCCATTTGACCATCAGTTTGGGGTCCTTGGCCTGAAAAGACCCCTGACCTAAATGGCTCCTATTTCACCAGGTCTGGTGAAATAGGAGCCATGCATGTTACCTTATTATTTATTATTTACCTTATTATTTAGGGTAGCATGCTAGGTGTAGCAATATTAAGCTCAGTTTTGGGGGTGTTGTGAATAATTTAGACGAGTTAGCACTTTCCTGTGTTCTACTTAAGAACGGACTCAGCAAGAACACCAGTCCCAACTTGTGTTCCTGTGAATTGAGAAAAGGCCTAATTCTGATTATGTACCACCTACTACAGCTGAAGTTAACTGATAAAATACATTGATGCAGTAAATTTATTAAATTCAGCACTTTATAAAAAAAAATATTTAGCCTTAAATGTTCTGGAAAATGCTCTGGTTACCAGAGAAACCTTTTAGGTTTTAGGAAAATGGCTGTTAGTCAACTTTAGATCAACTCATTAATTGATAACCAGCCTCTCTAGTATAGACCCTTCATTGCTGTGATGATCAATTCTTTTAATAATCCTTGTTTTTGTGCTTTTGTTCACTTTAGTACTCGCTCACAGTTAGCTGTAATTTCTGAAATTATAATGTTATTATTATATTTATTATAGTTTCATAAAAACAACAATTTGACCTTTTAACCCTGCTCCTAAAACCTGAGGATAAAACAACTGAAACTATAACCTGAACTAATGGAAACTAAACACAGGCTTTAATAAAATAATAGTGACCCATACCAACCAGAACTAAACAGAACCAAATGAACTAAAGTGAAACCCAGATCCAAGTAAACTAGAATCCAAACTGATTCTGACCCACTGCTGCAGAACCAGAACCACTGAGATGAACGTCAGGCAGATGGACCAACAGATGGTCCCAGCAGAGCTGCGGCTCTCATCGCCATGGAAACAGCTGGTTCTGAAGGGCTGCTGGGTCAACCAGTTCTGGTTTGGAGAACAAACTCCAAGCAGAACCGGAACCAGAACCCTGCAGCTGTGTTCTAACAGAGAACCTGGAGAGTCCAGAAGCAGGTTCTGAGCCCGTTTCCTTCAGTGAGGGATATGACACCGGGTCAGGCCGGGTCAGGCTCAGCAGGGACGCAGAGAGAGGCGGTCCGACTCACCGTTGGATGGAACCAGCTGGGCTGCGTGTCTGTAGTACGACTCTGCCTGGCTGGTCTGGTTCCGGTAGCGAGCTGAAAGAGGAGCAGAAACACCATCTGGATCAGAACCAGAGGAAAGCCGTCCCACCGGGTCAGACCGGCTGCAGCAGAAAGGCAGGTTCTGACCGATGTCTCCCAGGTGGACCAGGCAGTGCTGGCAGATGTAGGAGCAGGAGCTGGGCTGAGGCGTGATGATGCCGCCACCGCCGCCGCCGCTCTGCTTGCTGCTGATGATGCCGAGCTGAGACGACCGGACGCGGCAGGGCAGGTCCACGTTGAAGACGGTGCAGAGCTCCTGGAGCAGCTGGAAGGCAACACAAAACCAGAACCACTCAGTAGACTGGACCTCACTGGGTCACACACCGTCCTCCCCTCCTGGTTCTGGTCTAATTTAACATCTTTCAGGTTCTAACCCGTCTGTCAGAACCCTGAACCCAAACAGTTCTGACCCGACCAGCAGGTGGAGCTCCTGGGTGGTACCTGAGTGTAGAAGCCGCTGGCGGCCTCCAGGAACAGCGACAGGTTGGCCTGGACCTCGCTCCGGTTGGGGTTGGCCCGGTTCTTGGCCTGGCTCTGCAGGGTGGTGATCTGGTTCTTAAAGGCGTGGTTCCACCTGCAGCCAAAAACACGGGTCAAAGGTAAGCAAGAACCAAAGAGACTCAGTATCTGGTTCTGATGGGTTCCTCTGACTACTCCATCTTTGATCAGAACAACAGGAGGTCAAAGGTACAATCATCAGAACCAGTCCTGATCAGAACCAGGCGGTGTGTCCGGGTGCAGCAGCTTACAGGTCCTGCTCCACCTTCTTGTCCAGAGCGTACTCCAGGTCCGTCACCAGCATCTTCTGGTAGAGATCCTGCAGCGCCTGGCGGGACGTCCACACCTCTGCTGCCCCCAGCTTGGAGTCTGGAAGAGGAGGGTAGATGGTACCGGTTCTCAGGTGGATTCTTTACAGCAGAAATGAGTTCTGAGACCAAACTGGACCTGAAATGTTCCTGATAGTTTCTGATCATCCTAATCTGTCTTAATCTGCAGTGACATGGAGACAAAGGAGAAGATCTACTAGGTTTCTGCTCAGAGGAACTTTCTTCACAACTTTAGGAGAAGTTCTAATAAAACATTTAAAGCTTTCATTTTATCTGATGATGAAGTCTAATCATCGTCTTCCTCCTGTACTCCACAGGAGGACTCCTGAATCGGGTCAGAGGTCACGATCCGACAGCGACTCGCTCGGCTTAATGTCTGAAGCTGAGCGAGTCGCTTCACTCAGCTTCGGTGGGAGATGCAGTAAAGCAAAGTTGGGTTTTCCTTCCCCGTTTCACTGCCTGACTTTCTTTTTAAATTTATTTCTGGCTGCAACTAACGATTCATTTACTAATTGATTAATCTGTCAATTTATTTATTTATTTTTTATTAATCAATGAACATTTGGATGGTAAAATCTTCTTAAAATAGATTTTTCAAAGGAATAAACGAGGCGAAACTAAAACTTTTCCACTTGAGAAGTTCTGGATTATAGAGCAAAGTAAAATAAAAAAGTTTCTTATTTTAAATGAAAAATATTAACACATATATATTCACAATGTTGGTATAATTCCTGCTCTTAGCGGGTAGCGCTGTCAGCTAAAGGCATGTTTCACAGTCTCTATTATCCAGCTAATGATTAATCGATTATTAAATTAGATTATTGATTAATGTGATGAATTCTTCCAGCCCTACTTTTATTAATCTGATTCAGCTAAATGTGGGATATTTGTCCAATCTTTACAGAGACAGCAGTGAGAAATCTACACAGATCATTTGCTTTAAGCATAGCAGGAGCCGCTCTCTACGCACTGCAGTCAGTGTGACGAACACAAAAAAACAAAAACAGAACGGAGATTAGAAAGTTGGACACAACAGCTGTGACCCTGGTTTGAGACGGTCTGAATGTCATAAACCATCCAGACCAGAGCTAAAGGTTCAGACCAGAACCTCCAAGCTTCTGCTTCTCCGCCGACCGCAGGAGGACCAACACCTCGTCTCCTGTTCACACCTTAGTTCCCCAACAGGAGAAGCTCTGCTTAATGATTAACAATCCAGATTTAGACCCATAAAATCCACCGCTCCAGTCAGCAGAACCTCTCCACAGCGCTTCATGGTTCCCATCAGTGACATCATTCCAGAACCAGTCAGAACCTAACAGACTGGACTCTGGGTCGGGCCGGAAGCCGCTTCGTTTCGGAACAGAACCAGGACAACAGAACCATTTAGGCCTTTCATCTAACAGGGGCCCGTATGAATGGAACCAGTGCCAGAAAAATAAAAGTATCTAGAATTGGGTCAAACATGGAGCAGCAGGTTCTGAACGCCATGAAACTTAAAAACCAGCATGAAGTCGGGAAACGACCCGAATGAAGGAAAAAAATCAGGATAACCGAGGCTCCTGTCTGCCTGCAGCTGAAGTCTGTTCATTGCAGACATTTAAGTCTAGGAGTTAAATTAATAGATGAGGTCAGACATAAAAGCACATTAAACACATAGAAACATTAACTGATCAACATTAACATGAATCCCCTAAAGGCTGAAGCTGGACGCCTCCCAACAGGCTAAACCTGCCCCACACCGCTTCTTCTAAGAATGATGCTACGTTCAGAGCGCACGCAGCAGGAGCAGCAAAAACACGCCTGTTGCTTCATTTCTGATGCTGTACAAGTTTGGTTCTGATACGCAGCTGAAGCATCTCTGCTGCTCTAGCTGTGCGATGGAAAAGTGGTTCTGATGCGCGGTGGGCGGAGCTAACCGTTCCTTTCTCTGCCTGGAACAATGGCAGCTATATTAGCTGTGATCAGTGGGTAAAAAGTAGTTTGAATCTATTTCTAAGTGAGAAAGTCCACTTGAGAACATCATCAGTCAGTTCATCCAGATTACCATCCTGCCTTCAAAGATTATTTCTCTGTGGGAGCCGCTCAGACCCCCACATAGCAGCGGTGCTGTCACTGGGAATCCCCAGCAGCAGCTGCCTCAGGCCCGCTCGCCTCCTCACGGTTTGCTGCTACTGTTCGCAGTGGCTGGAAGTAGATGTTAGCATTTTTCAACTTTTCAAACTGCAGGCACCAAGATAATAAAATCAAACATATTCTCCCGGCAGGTTTCTACATTTTAAGTTAATTTAGGCGTTAAACTGTTTCAGAGGAGTGATCATAGCGCTCTGCATCAGCAGTGCTGTGTCTGTCTCCCTGCCAGCTCCCAGATCAGCTTCTCTCATTGGTTGATGTGACGCGTCCAGCAGCATGTAAGCTAGCTGCCTCTGCTGCTGAAAGAGCGTGCGGTCTGGACGTAACATAAGCCTGATTTTAAATCAACATTCTGCTCCTTCAGGGAGGAGAGGCATCATCCTGCAGACTGTGGAGAACAGAAACCAGTCACTGGAGGTGGACCCGTTACCAGACCTGGAACCAGAACCAGCCAATAGATCCGCTCACATAGTGAAAAAAGAAAACATTCATGAAACAATGGAAAAGCAACCAATGTCCATCTCTAGCCATGAGCTTCTTTTATGTTTAAGTCCCCAGAAGAGGAAAGAAATAACGGAATCGATCCAAATCAAAGCATCTGAAGTCAGTCAGTCAGAACCAGTAAGTCCAAATAAAAACTAAACTAGAACATCAGTACCGCTCTTTAAAGCCAAATCAATGAATCTCTAGTTCTCTCATTTATTGGTTTTACTCTGACTCTGGAACCTCAGACTCTTTATTTTTCCATAAGCTGTTTTATTTCTCATTAAATGAATGAAAACATCTGGCAGTGACCGTCTGAGCTCAACATCCGGACCTTTAGAAACAGGAGAACTAGTTCAGGTCCAGACTTTGAACGGTGTTTAGCTGCAGCGGTTTGAAGGCTGATCTGCTGACTTTCTGTGTCTATAAGCATGCAGGTGTGTGTGACAGAGCAGACCTACCTGTCATGTCAGCCTTCAGGGCCTCCGCCTGGCTGCTCCGATGGAAACAGAGAGGAGAGGGAGGTTAGACAGACACGGCAGCTTTCAGTTCATCAACATTCCTGCTCGACCTGAACTCCTTCAAACATTTAACAGCTCTGATCACACGTCCACCAGAACCTGCGGCTCCGTCTACTTCCTGCGTCCAAAACACAACTATTCAATCAGCGAAGCTTCCTGCAGATCAACCCCTGCCTGCCAGCTGTTATTAACTGCAGCTATGATCCGGTAGAGGAGTCACACACAGCAGGTTAACCAGTAATCACACCTGGAAGAGCATCCAAACCCACTATTACCCCCTTAGCTTAGCAGTATCGATGCTAACCTGACAGCCCTACAATTAAGCTAACAACAAGCAACACATTTATAAGCCTTAAAAACACATTTTACAACACTTAGCTGGTTCTAAACCCGGCCTAACTTAAAAACGATCATTCATTACAGAGTGTAACATCTGCTGCTTCAACTGCTTATTGATATATCGGAATCTAACAACTCAAACTGTTAGCTAAGCTAGCTCCAGGCTAGCAGCCTAGCAAAACAATCCAGCAGCGCTCCTTCCTGGGCCACCGGAACCACCGGCGCACGGCACGCGGCCCAACTCACCGCAGATACTGGGCGCAGGGGTTCATCCTGCCGGGTCAACACCGGTCCTTTACACTACGACTGGACCGAAGCTAGGGCTCCTCCAGGCGCCATCATGTTGCTGTGTGACCCGCTGAGGGCCTGTGGTGCGGGGGCGGAGCAGGGGCGGAGCACCGGGGGGGGCCTGCGGGGACCCGGAGCCCACAGAGTTTTGTTTATGAACTATTTGTAGTCAAATAAAATAACGCATTCTTACATAATAAGAATAAATAATAATAATAGATTTTAATTCAAAGGCGCCTTTCTAGACACTCAAGGTCACTGTGCAAAAGATAAAAACACAATGGCAGAAACAAAGTCAAAACACAGAATAAAACCATTTAAAAATACAAAGGCTGGGAAGTTACTATTAAAGTCATAGGGAAGTCATTTAAATGTCAAATCATTCTGGCTTAAACATATAAATGTACTCTTGAGACAATATTGTCCCAAAAGTTAGAAAATTTCTATTAAAAAATAATCCTGTCTTAAAATCTGTGGGGGGGTTTCTTTCTTTATTTTATGCAGGCCAGTTAGTTATATGTCAGCTTCTAAACCTAAATTCAGCCAATCATATATCAACGGTCATTTGTCAATCAATTTTTTTTGGTCATAGCATCTTGATTCATATGTCGTAGCTATAATATGCAACGGTTGAAATAAGAAATCAGAATCCTTTCCTTTCCCATTGAGTTGCGTCCCAGTGTT